AAAAGGCTGGTAACCGCTGCTCTAAAAACAGCAGTTCCAAACCTTTTTGGCTGTGAATCCTTAAAATGAAGTATGTTTCCTGGTAAACCCATTATCAATGGAACTCAACTAAGAAGTGGTTGTTTGTTCAAGTAATCTTTAGAGGCCCATTGAACTAATGTTGTCCAGTAAATCACATGAAAAAAGCAGTTCAGAATAAACTGTATGAACCTGAAGAGACAAGACATCAGTGCATGAGGTTTACTTACAGTCATGGGACAGCTGAAGTCTGCAGCTTGTAAGCGCCTTTAAATCTCTTTTACACAGTGTCACTGCATTCGGCTGCTGTTCTCCTGCTGAAGAAACACTTTTCCACATGTGATCGCCTTTGTGAAGAACAGCCAGCCTTTCTTCAACCAGTATCACCTCTATCAGTTCAATTAGCTCTTTAACCTGAGCTCCATTCCCCCGGTGTTTATTGTCCAGGACGTGATATCTGTTCCCACACTTCTCAACCAGGCTCTGCAGCGGCTGTCCTTCACTCTCAATGCGCTGCTCGATGCTCGTGTCGCCCAGCCAGTCCCCGTGGCTGAAAAGGACCACAGCTCTGCTCCACATGCGGCCTCCTCCTGCCTCCAGCTGTTTCTCCATGGCCTCCCTGTGGGTGTCTTTGAATGAGGAGCTCACATTGACAACCAGGAGGAGAGCACAGGATGCAACAAGGAGGTCAGAGGTCAGAGAGAAGCAGCCTGGTGTGTCCAGCACTGCTACCGTCTTGCCGCTGACGTTGGCTCGTTTCTCAGAGCAGGAGGTGGTATGTGTTTCCGTGTGGAAGCACTTTCTGCTCAAGATGGTGTTTCCACATGAGCTCTTGCCTGTTTTCCTGCCACCAACCAGCACTATTCTCAGTTCTGGAAGAGGGTTGAGCTTCTCTGTTGAAAAGACGTTTTTCAAATCTGTTAGAAACATGGCAAACAAACTCCTTCTGGTTGACTTGTGTCCAAAAATCAGCTAAATTAAATAGTGTTTATTAAATAAGTGAAATAAGATCACCCTGACATTGTTTATCACTTTATAATGCATCTAACTCACCCAGCTGAAACCTCGCCATCTGCCTTTGTTTCTCCTTCTTCATCAGTCTCTCTATGGCTCCCTCCTTCTCTCTCCTCATCTTCCCCTCCATCTGTTCCTTCACCGTCCTCTCTATTTCATAGTGTTGCACGTTGTTGCAGCCAGCCAACATTTCCTCAATCTTCCCAATCAGTTCTCTGACTTGGAATCCATCCCCTTTAGTTTTATTGTTCAGAACATGATACCTGTTGCCGCACCTCTCAATAAGCGACTGCAGAGGCTCTCCCTCACTCTCGATGCACTGCTCAGTAGTCGTGCCTCCCAGCCAGTCCCCAAAACTAAACAGCACAATGACGCGACTCCAGATGTGTTCACTGATCAGCTGGAGGTGCTCCTGCGCCGCCCTCCTGTAGGTGTCAGTGAAGGCTCTGTCCACACGGATCACCAGCAGGAAGACGTGAGGCCCCGGAGGGCAGAGAGAGGAACTGAACGCTATCTCCCTCCGGTCAAAGATGGGACTCTCGTCACAGAAGTAGTTCCCCCACCAGCCCGGCGTGTCCACCACAGTCACCTGTCTCCCAAACACCACACCTTTACCAACCCGACACTGGGCTGTTCTGCTCAGTTGCTGGCTGCTCTCTCTGCTCAGGATTGTGTTCAGTGTAGAAGTTTTCCCAGAACCCTTTGCTCCCACCATCACAATCCGGATATTAGTGATGGGCCGCAGCCTCTCTGAAAGAGTGAAAGTGGAAATGTACAGCATTAGTAGCTTAGGTGTTTTTTTCAGACTTCCATCGACCTTTTTCACAGCAACCATTATGATATGAAATAGTAGGGTAAACACAGGTGTTACCAGTGATACTAATTAAAGGTTGACTCTGTTAGAACGGAGCCTTAATTAGTATCATCGGTTACACCTGTTACTACTATTTCATGTCAAAATGGCTGCTGTGAAAAGGATCTATTAAGGACATTTTCCTATAGGTTACAGAAATAGTTCAATATTCTGGAAAATACGCATATCCGCTGTTAATTTGCAGTTGTTCGCTGAGTTAAATTAGCA